CCCCAAAACCCCAAAACCCCAAAACCCCAAAACCCCGTGGAAGGGAGGGATGGTTGAGATACAGAGGGGTTATTATTCTGAGGGGTTAAGGTTAGATGGAGGAATAGAATGTTTTGGGGGATTTTAGAGGAAATAGATTTGGAAATGGAATGTGGGAATGTGAGTTGGGTTTTGGAGAGAGTAGAGGAAGTTGGATGGGTGTTATTTATGATTTTGGACAAATGAGGTTGAGAGAAGGTTGTAGAGAGGCTTAGTTTATTTAAAAAATATTTCTTTCGTGTATTGAGATTTCCACAGTTTTATGAAGGAATTCATTGAAAGAGTAAAAACTCTAAAATGCATGCAAAATTTTCTCTTTAAGGCGACAATTAGAGTTTGTTATAATTTAGAACCAAAGTTTTATTATTGATCCAAAAATGTTGCGAATTATTTGCAAAAATAAATATCATAACTCTCTAAATTTTCTGGAATTTGTGTAAGACTAATTAATGCATAAAAATCTCCTAAAGTATGAAACAATTTTTACGACTGAATCATTTCTAGCCTGAAAGTTATATAAATGAAAATTTCAAAGAATTTTAGAGCATAAAGCAATTCCTTACTATTAGCAAAAGCTTCTGTGCTATAATTCAATGCATTTTTATGGCCTGTTTTACTATTTATGCCGAACGTTCATATTTTGGCTAAAATCTAAACCTAAACAATACCATATGAGAAGAGCCTCTTTTGGAGGCTGAAATTTTATGGTAAATATATTTGAATGAGTTATTAGATTTTTAGAAATATTGCAAATTTTCGGTGTCAAAACCTAGCCACTAAAAACAAATTTCTTCGAAATAGTTTAATGAGAAAAATTTCTAGACTTCATACCAGAGAACGTAATACATAAGCCAAAATGTCTATAGTCTTACTAACACTTCCTTTGACAGAGCTTATAATATTATAAATTTGACCATATTAAGAGTCTCTCGCTTAATGTTATATTTCTCATTATGAGCAAATTCTCTTTGGGCAAATAAATTTGTACTAAAATTTCTTAGTAAATATTCTATACTTGCTTTCAATGCCTTGGCAAATAAATTTGGAGTCGACTTCAGCATCTTTGTTGGGACATATTTGAAGGTTTTTATACTTAAAAGTTTCCATCCAGGCTTAGCGCCAGAATGAATTTCTGAGGTGGTAAGCCAGAGTTGGTAGGAATCGGCTTCTATTTGTCTTGAGATATATAATAGAGGATAAGCATGCTGATAGGTTTGGAAAATATTGTAAGGTCGAAAGTGAAGACATTAATATTTTGTGTTTTATTGCTAATTTGCTTGATGATTATAATAAAATGCTAACAAAATTTTAAGAAATATATTAGTGTTATCATTTACTAGTTTGGAAATATATAGGACCTCATTACTCATAATAATCCTCTACAAATAGTTAAAATCTAATTTTCTATTATAACTTGAAATATGATTGAATTTAAAAAGGGATTTATCGAAGAATTTCTGAACTGTGGAATTCTCGGTAATGTTGAAGATTATTGAAATTTCCAATTTAATTGCCTCTTGGTTTGTTATTATTAAAGTTGTCAAGACTCTGTTTTTCAGCCTGATTGAAGATCAGGCTCTCAAAATTTTAATATGGACATATAAAAGAAGGAGTCTCATATTTTTCTGAAATTATGTGAAGAGAAGTTTTATTTTTAGAATTTTTATGAATTATTTTAGATGAAAGATTCATGCTGTTCACGGGGATTTTGAACGTCTTTCATTGTGAGTTGATATGATTGGTTATTTTCTGGGAGTTGTTCGAGTTCGTTTAAAGAAGTAGATGACTGTTTCTTTGATAGAAGTGGAGCATCTTCTTCCTTGATCCTAATCATTTCTCTCAACATCCCACTGGTTTGAGATTTTAGAGAAGGGTTTTTACTTCCTAGTTTTGACTCTCACAAAGTTGAATCTTTATTTTTATTGAAATTTTTAAAAGAAATTTCTTTTCTTGATAAGTAAACACTCTGAACTGCTCAAGATCCTTGATCATGACTCTTAAATAACTTATCTTGAGATTGACCTAAATGGCCAATGAACTTCAACGAGCTCAACATTTTTGCACTCCTGAGTGCTCCTCTCAGTCTTCCTACTCAAACACAAGCCTCTGAAAGGGTATCCTCACTGATGTCTCAATCTTCATAGTTCTGATCTCCAAGGTCGTCAATCATCTTGGGAAACACTTTTGGTTGTATCTGGTTACTAGATGAATTCATGAGTTATTAAAGTTTATTAATGCTAGGCTGTATCAACCTCTTTAAATATTGTTGGGGTTTTGGGGTTTTGGGGTTTTGGGGTTTTGGGG